ACTCTAGCCATCTCATGAGAAGAGAAGACAACCCTGATCTGGTCCATGGGGTCACGAAAAGTCAGACATGACTTAACAACTAAACAACAAGTTTGGAGGAAGAATATGTACCACAGGAAATCTATTTTAGTGGATCTTAAAACACTCTTCAAATTCCTTCCTTTTCAACCTAGCCTTACAAAGGGAACTGCATTTGAAATGTATTACTTGTGGTCACAATTCATTTACCTGCACAAACACTTTTTGCAATAGCGCTCTACGCTCTGCTAGAGGCAACTCATTCTGGGCTCCTCCAGCTGCCTCAGGCACATGTGGAAGGTCAAAGAACAGATAGAGACATTTCACAAGCGTGGAAGGCACTGACATAGTTGTCATGCAGTCCACTGTTTTCTGCAGAAGAAACAAACAATAATGAAAAAACGTTCATGTATTCTCGAAGGCTTTCACAGCCGCTGGTTGCCCATAAAACCCACAACAACAACAAAACTTTAACTTTAACCCCAGAACATAGCCAAACAGCCCCCAAAAAATCTACAACAAGAAAACTTTAATGTTGCTCTTCATTAGCTGAAATCCTACTGATGTTCTTGTTTGGTTTTCATAACCTATCACAGCTAACTGTGGCTAACTGACAAGGTACTGTGTTGCATCTTCATTGATCACTCAGGCATGTGACCAAGAACGCAGCTGAGACACACACCAACACCTTGCTATTAGCTAAAATTAGCTGCTACAAGTTATGCAATCGTTATGTGAATACCCACAGGATTCAAGCCATTACATTTTTTTCTGAACTCAATGTATTCTGTCAGTAAGGATTTAATGACATAGCTCCTAACATATTTCTGTGGATGTCAGAGGTACTATGTGTGAAACCAGCAACTTCAAAAGGCTCTGCCAAGCTTTCTTATTTCATGTCTGAACATCCACAGAATAGGCTACGCTTACACATATTTCACTGCCACATACACTTCTGCAAAAAAAGTACCTAAGAGTACTTCACAAAAATCAACAGTTTCCATTTAAACCTTTGTTCCTAGACATATGGCAAAAATAATATAATTGCTGTATCTTTTGTTTTTACAATTCCATATATTTTAAACAACAACACATCTGAAAAGCTAACAACATACTTTAAAAAAGATTTTACAGGAAACAGATGCTGCCCATTCTAAGACTCTGCTCATAAAGAACTAACCTGTCCAGATGATGCTAGCAGGTTAATTGTAGTAAGCAACATCCAACCTCTACTGGCTTCTTCACTCTGATTGATCTCCAGGAACTGGACTATGGCACGACTTGCAGCCTCTATGAGTTTTTTTTAAGTAGAAAGCAAAAATACAAAATAAAAATAGCTAGGTTCACGTTAGACAGAGTGAAATATTTATTCTATGACACCTTTGTACCTCACTAATTCATTACAGAATAAGCTTCCATGCACAAAGAACACCTTCATCAGGTGCACAAAATGTCATATCAAACAAGCAGATTTACACACACATACTTAGACTGCATGGGCAGCACACAATGAGCTCAGACGGAACTGGCATACAATGCACCTCTCTCTATATACCCTTCCTGTTCTGGAACAGAAAGGCCTGCAGGGAAAGGACTGCCACTTTGGACTTGCAGGACCTGTGTATTTCCCCAGTCTTTCACTCAGTTCTAAAGCTGGGAAGGGGACAGATACTTAAGGTACAACAGTTGCAAATTTAAATCTAGAGGCAAACATGCTAAAAGGTAGATATAGTTTTGTTTCTGCATTCTTCAAAATCAGGAACTGATGTCCTTCAATAAGCCTTCTAGTATTTGTTTGACCCAGGTAAGAACAATTCACTAATTTCAGTGGGTCAATATCACAAATATATTCTCGAAGGCTTTCACGGCTGAGATCCGATGGTTGTTGTAGGTTTTTCAGGTTGTTCTAACTCTTGTCCTCTGAAGATGCTGGCCACAAAGACTGGGGAAATGTTAGGAAGACCTCCAGGACATGACCAAACAGCCCGAAAAACTACAACCACCAAATATCACAAATATTTAGCTGCCGTTTGAATTAATCCCCTGAGGATGCTGATCAAACTGACATGCATTTTTGCTTGCCCTAGCATTAATTGTCAGAATTGTATTAATTGCATAGCTGAAGGAAAGCACATTCTGATCCCATCAACCGGCCAGGGAAATGGGGCTGCTGGTACATACAGATGTACAGTGGTGCCTCGCATAGCGAGGTTAATCCGTTCCGGATTAACCCTCGCTGTGTGAAAACATCGCTGAACGGGACAATCAGCTGATTTACTCACCGTTCAGCGATGTTTTGCAATGGCCGGCAGCCATTTTCGCGCCCTCCCCTTGCTTAATGAGGGCGCGAAAATGCTGCGGGCAGCCATTTTGGGGCTTCTGGTGGCCATTTTGTAGCCACCGAACAGCTGATCGGCAGGTCGCAAAGCGAAGGTCGGTAAGCGAACCGCTTACCAACCTTCGCTCTGCGATTTTCGCCCTATGCAGGCATCGGTGTGTGATCGCATTTGCGATCGCAAAACCGGCCTCGTAGAGCGAATTCATTGCTCTACGGTGCACTTGTTGTGCGAGGTACCACTGTATATGCATGATTTTAACCACTGGAAGCCACATGAAAGATTATTATTACAGTTAAAAAGCAGGATATAACCCTTTAAAAACATACATACAGTAAACTATTGATCCATGACTTACCTGTAGATTTATTGGAGGCCCTCCGACGAATTTCAGTCACCATTAATCGTGACACCTGTGTTGTAAACTGAAGAAGATCTGAAAACTTTTCCATCATTGTACTTGGAGGAGCATTTCCAAATACCTGTAAATAAACAACCAAGCAAACTTGTTACTCATGCTAAGAAAACAGCAGCTAGAAAATGTGTACATGGAGACATACAGTTCCTGTCATATATTTGTGCAGGCATATCAGACTTTCTGGGTGCAAATACATTTGACAAAAATATCAGTGTTCAATAAAATTAAGTTTTGCCATTATTACTCAAACAGCTCAGTTAGCAAATGTAGCTGGTTCTACCATGTTCTTTTGTAAACCCATGGTTGATGTTCTAAAAACTCAGCTGGTCTACTTGTAGTCTCTCAAATGGCTTGAATCCTGGTGCTTGTTCTTTTTGTGGTGGACTGTGGTTAAAGGAGCAAAAGTATAGCACAAGATTGGTTTGCCACCACTATTCATTCCACTAGCATTTCTAGTGTTGTTGCTGTTTTCTCTGTATTGGGTTCAGGTGACCTCAATGCACATAGTAGGTATTTAAAAGCCTACTACGTGGCAATTCAAGGGTATAAATTCTGCTGCTTCTCTTCCCTCCCAGCAGAAGAGGAAAAATCTATTATTCTCATTCTGACGTTTCCCTGCTGAAAGATCACTCAGAAATCTCATCCGGCACAGTATATTACTATATAAGTATGTGAGTATGGATGCATGAGAGTATGTGCATGTCTGCATGCAAATCCACTCCCAGGTTCTACAATCCAAGGTTTGTAGCCCTCTACCCAGCCACAAGGACCGGGGATCACTACACACAAAAGACCAGCTAATGACACCCATCAATCACAGTGACAGATAATCTCTCCTCCTCATCACAGCAATACACCCACAACAAGACACACTAATCACCCATCTCCTGAATAGGACAAAAGCCTATCTCACAGTCACAAATACTCCACTCCCAAGCAAATTACACCAGAGCACAGAGTGCTGTCCTCTGAAGATGCCGGCCACAGAGACTGGCGAAATGTTAGGAAGAACAAGCTTCAGAACACAGCCAAAGAGCCTGAAAAACCCACAACAACCATCAAATCTGGAGGCGTGGCCATTTTGGGGCTTCCGGCGGCCATTTTGAAGCCATCGAACAGCTGATCGGCAGGTCGCAAAGCGAAGGGCGGTAAGCGAACCGCTTACCAACCTTCGCTCTGCGATTTTCGCCCTATGCAGGCATCGGTGTGTGATCGCATTTGCCATCGCAAAACCGGCCTCGTAGAGCGAATTCATTGCTCTACGGTGCACTTGTTGTGCGAGGCACCACTGTATATGCATGATTTTAACCACTGGAAGCCACATGAAAGATTATTATTACAGTTAAAAAGCAGGATATAACCCTTTAAAAACATACATACAGTAAACTGTTGATCCATGACTTACCTGTAGATTTATTGGAGGCCCTCCGACGAATTTCAGTCACCATTAATCGTGACACCTGTGTTGTAAACTGAAGAAGATCTGAAAACTTTTCCATCATTGTACTTGGAGGAGCATTTCCAAATACCTGTAAATAAACAACCAAGCAAACTTGTTACTCATGCTAAGAAAACAGCAGCTAGAAAATGTGTACATGGAGACATACAGTTCCTGTCATATATTTGTGCAGGCATATCAGACTTTCTGGGTGCAAATACATTTGACAAAAATATCAGTGTTCAATAAAATTAAGTTTTGCCATTATTACTCAAACAGCTCAGTTAGCAAATGTAGCTGGTTCTACCATGTTCTTTTGTAAACCCATGGTTGATGTTCTAAAAACTCAGCTGGTCTACTTGTAGTCTCTCAAATGGCTTGAATCCTGGTGCTTGTTCTTTTTGTGGTGGACTGTGGTTAAAGGAGCAAAAGTATAGCACAAGATTGGTTTGCCACCACTATTCATTCCACTAGCATTTCTAGTGTTGTTGCTGTTTTCTCTGTATTGGGTTCAGGTGACCTCAATGCACATAGTAGGTATTTAAAAGCCTACTACGTGGCAATTCAAGGGTATAAATTCTGCTGCTTCTCTTCCCTCCCAGCAGAAGAGGAAAAATCTATTATTCTCATTCTGACGTTTCCCTGCTGAAAGATCACTCAGAAATCTCATCCGGCACAGTATATTACTATATAAGTATGTGAGTATGGATGCATGAGAGTATGTGCATGTCTGCATGCAAATCCACTCCCAGGTTCTACAATCCAAGGTTTGTAGACCTCTACCCAGCCACAAGGACCGGGGATCACTACACACAAAAGACCAGCTAATGACACCCATCAATCACAGTGACAGATAATCTCTCCTCCTCATCACAGCAATACACCCACAACAAGACACACTAATCACCCATCTCCTGAATAGGACAAAAGCCTATCTCACAGTCACAAATACTCCACTCCCAAGCAAATTACACCAGAGCACAGAGTGCTGTCCTCTGAAGATGCCGGCCACAGAGACTGGCGAAATGTTAGGAAGAACAAGCTTCAGAACACAGCCAAAGAGCCTGAAAAACCCACAACAACCATCAAATCTGGAGGCAGCTGACTGCATCCCACTAAGAAATCCCAGAGGAAAGATAAAACAAAAATTGATGGGAATGAAGGGGGGGTGGAAATCAGGTACTCATCACTTCCTTAGCAGCTACTGTTGTGTGGAGGGGGCACTGGTCTTGCCTGCATCTGTGAACCACAGAAAGCCACACTATGTGCAGTATCAAGGGGGAAACAACAACCTCTATTACCCAAACTCTCCTTGTCGAGACTTCTGAAAGTTTCCCTGGAGAAAGACAACAAATGCTGTAGGGAACGGAAAACAAATGAAGGAAAGGAAAAACTGCTGACTGACCTTCTCCTTCCTGTGGTTACCTTTGTTCAAAAGCTATATTCTCTTTGTCCTCCTTTTACTAAATTTCTGGCCAAAAGCTGAACTCAGCTACATGTGGCCATTTCTACTGTGATAAGGGTAACATGCAGGCAGGTGTCACAACTCACTTTTCCAGTTTTCCATGTATCTATGAAAAGGCAGTAGCGCTGATACTGACAGCACAACCAGAAATAGCTAGAAGAATTACCTATTTACCCTGCTCTCTTAAAATTATTGATCTCGTTCCACCAAGGCACATTTACTGCCCCCGTCTTAAAATCAAATTAAATATATAAACTGCAGAAGCCTAGTGCTTAGGCACACTCAGTGTTTGTGGCTATAGGACACATTTTAGAGATGTGTGAACAGAGTATGAGCAACACTTTCTACAGAAATAAAAAATTAAATCATTGACCAACACACTGTTTCAAGTACCGTGCATGGCATGGAAGTATCCACAGTAATTTGAAGAGGCGCCTGTCACATGTATGGTCATACAAGAAGTACATCTTCAAATAGCCAGAGCAGCAGCCACTTTGACAACTCTCATTCTACAGATTAGTCCAAATAGGGTACCAGCCCTTATGTTGTAAGCTCTGACCTTTGATCATGCTCCTAATGTCCACTGAAACACATAGACTAGCTGCAAATTTTTTAAAAAATTATTTCAACTCTACAGTGTAAACATTTTGTGGGGAAATTAGCAAAGTCAGTCACTTAGACTGATGTAAAAGATGAACATTAGTGGGGCTGTGAAAGGCTCTTCCCCCACCCCTTTTGCACAGCTTGAAAGATACTCTGGTGGAAAGGCATACTTATTTTGCATATTACTTCATACTGATCTTCTCTGACATTACATCAACAGCACTTTGTTCTTTTACCGTAGGAGCTACGACAAATCGGTAACATATATTTCAAGCTAATCAGTTAGGAAATGTTGAGGCTTTTATTTTTCTTTTACAAAACACAAGACTATCATTTAGGACCCATGTATGCAGTCATATCACTCTAGGAATGCTAAAATGCATCATTAAGTAGTCTATGTAATCAAGCAAGGGCAAGAAAGCACAATGTGATATGAAAGATGCCTTGTTTACTGGCTAAGACCTTTTCAGAACAATGTCCACATTTTATGCATTTTAAAAAAATCCTTCTGTTTTAGTTCATTGCTATTCAATGAAAAAGGGAGAATCAACCCACACAGCACCAGAATATATGGTCGGTTTATGGAAAGGATCACATGCACACACAATTTAATCACAGACTGCGAAACTATCAAATTTTGTCCACTTCTCAAAAAGTATGATTTCGAAGGGGCTGGTTCAGTGAGAGTATAAAACAGGACTACTTTGCAAAAGATATGTCAATAGGAATATTTCACAAAAAGTCTCTTGAGTTCAGTGAGAGTATAAAACAGGACTACTTTACAAAAGATATACAGTATCAATAGGAGTATTTCACAAAAAATCTCTTGAGATACAGTGGTGCCTCGATTTACGACCATAATCTGTTCCAGAAGATGGATGTAACTCAAATGCCCATATGTCGAAGCACCATTTCCCATTGAAAGGCACTGCAATTAATCCATTTTGGCCAAAGAAAAAAATCATGAGGTACATGAAAAAAAAAACCCTGAAAATAAGCCCTAATGCATTTTTGGAGCAAAAATTAATATATTAATTAATAAGACCCTGTCTTATTTTGGGGGAAACATGGTAAACCACCAACTTTTACCACAGACTTTTGTGAAGAACACAAAAACAGATGCAACAGAGATCAAAGGAAGAGTTTTTGAAAATTAACTGACTTGTAAATTGAATTAGCGTGTTGCTATAAAGATCAAAACACAACTGCAATGCCAGAAATGTCTGCCATATTAACAGAAGGTAACAGGGGAACAAAAGAAATGCACAAAAGGTAACATCCTAAGAACTATTAGAAGACTTCATGATATCATTTTCCCCCTTCTCTTTTTAAAGGCAACTAACAAGAACAAATGAAACAAAAAGAATAAGTGAAAGAGTGTTGTTAAATTTAACACAACAAAAATTAAAAGCATAAAGAGTTAAAATTGTGCTTGAAGGATGCCCCAAAAACATTAAAACACATTACAACAGATTCAGACTGTGACTACACGGTCACTGTGCGATTTGTTCCACTTACAAAATAGAAGAATTCAAATCTTTTTTTACTGATCATTCATTCATTCATTCATTCATTCATTCATTCATTCATTCATTCATTCATTTATACCCCACCTATCTTACAGTTAGAAATTTGAATTTCCCACCTTTTTCCCCTGCCTTTTTCTGTTTGTAACTGGAAGCTCCGGTCGCAAGTAGAAACAAAATTTTGCAGCTGGAGCTGGTCATAACTTGAAAAGTAGGAGCATTTGTAAGTCGAGGCACCACTGTATTTCAAAACATTATGCACCACCAAACTCTAGAGTAACATTTGGCAAGCACACCACAAGCAGTGGCTGCCATTCCCAGATACTTCTAAGGGTCTCTCGTCAAAATATACAAGTTTTCAAAGAAGTATTAACCATCTGACATTAACTTGCACCCCACTGTACATTATTTTACTTGAATTATCTTGCAACCTCCAACACATTAACTATACAAAACTGTTAAAGCTGTTTTATCACCTATTTGAGAACCTCTGGTCCAAGCTATTTGGGGCGATACAAAAAGATCTAAGTGCCAATTACAGCTGGGTTTTTTTGAAACGGATCACTGAAAACTAAGGATCTATTAGCCACATCAGAACTCTGAAAAAGGTAAGTGGGATGTTATACTGCACAGTAATGAAAGGGATGGGATACAGCTTGTACATTTCACCCCATAATCCTTGGTTCAGTATGCATAGTTTTACTTATCCACAGTCTGAAAATATTATAAATATTAAAGGTAAAAAATTCAGAAAAAAACTATTTTCACATGTATTGCCAGAACCAATATTTCACATGTATTTCAAGTTCACCTTATTCAGGAGAAAAACTCATTTCTTTTTTTAAAAATATTTTGTTTATAAACTAAACATTATAAAATAGTACAACAATAAATAGAAAGGGGAAAAAGGAAAAAATATACTAACCAAATTAAAATCAACACAAAACAACATATCTTATATCCAGTGCACCCCTCCACCCTTGGGAATTATCCATTTTTAAAATTTAATTAATTAATTAGTTTGTTTATTTATTTTAATTTCTTTCTAATTAACATATCCCATTTCTCTCCAAAAACATAACAACTCTTGTCCTGTTACATTTTCCAAACACATATTTTAAAAATAAACTTCATATATCCATAAAATAATGCATTTTCTCATTTTCAGTTTACACATTAATGTATCATTAATAACAATGTTCCGCATTTCTTTATACCATTCCTCCATATTAAACAAATAATTACTCTTCCAATTTCTGGCTAATATCAGTTTTGACACAATCACCATAATAATAATTAATTCCTCCCCCCCCCATTCTATTTGGATATTTCTACACATATTTAACAAGGTATCATTGGCCACTTTTGTATATTTATACCCATAATATCTTTATCTCATTAAATATCATTGTCCAATCTTTCTGCATCATTTCATATGCCCACCATATATAAAAATGTGTACTCAATCCTTTCTTATATCTCCACAAGATAGTTAGTACTTCATTATTCAATAAATTCAATTTCACCAGAGTTAAATACCATCTCCAGATTACTTTATAAAAATTCTCCTTAACCCTTATAGACACACTCTTCAATATTCTTTTATCCCACATCTTCCAATCTTCAGCACTAATTTCTTCATGTAAATTTCCCTGCCCAGGGAGATTTAATTTATTTTCTGCTTGAAAAACTCATTTCCAAAAGATAATTGTATCTATTACTGATCTCAAATCCATCGCTGATGTCATATTTATCTCATAGCTCTATTATTTTGTATGATTTTTATTCCTCAAAAAAGCATTAAAAGATTAGTCAAGAGACAAGTCTTTGAAGATATCAAGTATGTTCAAAAGGATGATCAGCCGGTAAAAATTTAGGCTTGCTTCCCAGATTATTTTCACATTCACTGCTTAATGCCATTCTCATGCCCAAAACTGGAATAAGAATGGTTTTTACACATGTCCACTTATTAAAAAATAAACCACACAAGTGATGACTGTATAAGCACTTCAGAATAAATAACCATATATAACACAGACAAACATGGAACTAAATCACAAAATATTATTTTTGCCCTGGAACTTACTTCTATCAAGATCAAACTGGGAAGCGTCCAGTGAGGAATGCAGTTCAAGGCACTGTCATAAAACCTTATTTTGATCATGGAAGCAGGCAACATTCCCACTGTGACAATCTTAAACTGCACTGACCATTAAAAAAAACATGAAAACTAGTATAAAGATATTCAGCTTTTAAATCCAATCTCTCTACCTCCAAGCCAGTCACAACATTCCACCTAAAAAGAAGAAAACACTAGGCTTACCCTATTAAAAACTGGCAGCATCATATAAAGTTTCTCTTCCTGTTCTTTTTGGGTCATGTGCCGAGGAGGATGACACAATTCTGTAAAAAGCCGACGCAGGTGCATCAATCCTAAAGCATTATCTTGAGGGCTACACTCCTCTTGACGGGGTCGACCCATTATCCTTTTCACCATATTCATCTTTGCTGGTTTCCGAAAGACTCCTTTGATCCTGTTCAGGAAGAAGTAAAACAACATTGAAAAAAACACAAGCACACACCCCAGACCTCAGCTATAGACAGTTTATACATGAACAAAGAAGCCATTTATTTTCATCAGTACTAAAGCACCCCTTCTACATGCTCACATAGACATAATAATGCAAAGTTCTCCAAACCGTGTACAGTATAATTCTGAGCCATAATTGCAATTGTCTAGTTTCAAAACAAATAGTAAAATGAAATACAGCATACAGCACATTCTTTATTCATTAGCTAACATTTCTCATCATCACAGCTTTAAATCATTAAGCTGAATCACTTGGGGCAATGTGGATCTCATTGTGAACTTTCCAAACACATATCTCAATCCATGAGGATCTACCCGGATCACCCATGCGAGCCAGGAGGTGAGGCTGAGGAGCCTGACGACGAGGGAGGCCCGGAAGGAAAAGACACAAAACCGGGCCTTCTCAGCAGTGGCTCCTCGCCTCTGGAACCATCTCCCTCCTGAGATTCGCGCGGCCCCCACTCTGGCACTTTTAAAAGTCAATTAAAAACATGGCTATACATTCAGGCCTTCCCTCCAGCTAACGCCTGATTTTTCTGTTTATTCTCCCTTTATTAATTTTTTTTACTCTATTTTTGTATTGTGTGTGTTATAATATGATTTACTGCTAAGTGGGGTGAGGAGACATCAACATATTTTCCCCACCCTGTCCGCCCTGCACTGGCTACCTGTTCATTTCCATGCCAGCTTCAAGGTAATGGTGTTAACATACAAAGCCCTAAATGGTTTGGGACCTCATTATTTGGCAGAACACCTCCTTCTGACCAGATCTGCCTGTCTAGTAAGATCTTCCCAGGCTGGGCAGTTGAGGGTTCTGACCCCAAGAGAAGCTCAGAAATCAATGACTAGAAACCGGGCCTTCTCACTGGTAGCCCCGCAATTGTGGCATACTCTCCCGCTTGAAACTTGTCTCGCATCCTCACTGGGAATCTTCAAGAGATTATTAAAAACATTATCCTTTAGACAGGCCTTCCAGGACTCTACTTTATTTTGATTTAACAGTTATTGTTCAACCTCACCATCTTTTTTCCTCTTCCTCTTTCACGTTGATGTTCATTGATATTGTTTTTATTTGTTTAATTTTGTATTAATTTATACTTTGCCCTGTTATTGTATTGTCCTTTTATATTCTGTTTTATTATACCATGTAAACCATCCAGAGTGGCTTGGGTTGCCAAATGGGCAGTACATAAATATAATAAATAAATAAATACCAGGGCGGTAAACACTCTATGCCAGTTGGACATAGCTGTCATAGGAGTGCTACAAATTATTTCTGGGACAAAGGTCAGAGTCTGTCAACTTTTTTACCCATATTGCAGAAAGCTAGTTTATTAATATATGTAGTGTGGTTAAAAACCTTGATATTTATTTAGACTCACAGAGATCTAGTGGAACTTGTTATAGCCAAATTCTTCTGTCTCCCACTCAAGTCATATTTTAATTCCATTTTTAACAGCTACATTGAGATGCAAAGCTGAGTGTCCTGGAAGGTTGACATTTCTGAAACTGATTCCTTCTGATATCACAATTCTGACACCAGGTATGGTTAGGCATCCTTCAGTCTAGAGAGACTATGGTAACGTGCTCTGAATGGAACAGCATCTAGTGTGGCTGAGAAGGCCAATTCAAGAGTGACAATCTCTTCCACACTGAAGACAAATACACTCTGTCCCCTGTCCAGCTCCCTGATTTGGCTGGTTTCAGGATTGCCTCTTTGCCTTGGCCTGCTGAACAAGGGTCTCTTCAAATTGGGAGGGGCCGTGATGCACCGCCTGACTCCAGGCTGAACGCTCAGAGGTCAAGGTTTCCTATCTGTTAAGGCCCATTCCTAAGGCCTTCAGATCCCACTTGCAGATATCCTAGTATCACAGACGTGGTCTCCCTTCTGGGGCGCTTTCCCTGCACTAATTCTCCATACAGGAGATCTTTTTTAATCTGACCATCAACGATTCTCACGACATGCCCAAGCCAACGTAGATGTCGCTGTTTCAGTAACGTATACATGCTAAAATTCCAACTCGTTCTAGGACTACTCTATTTGGAACTTTGTCCTGCCAGGTGATACCAAAAACCCGTCAGAGGCAACGCATAATGTAAGGTATTCAGCTTCCTCTCCGCCATGGACAAAGGGTCCAGGACTCACTGCAGTACAGGAGTGTGCTCAGGACACAGGCTGTATAGACCTGAATCTTGTTATATGCCCTCAGCTTCTTATTAAGCCATCAAAAATGACAAGACAGAGAAATACAAGTGGCTATAGCAAACTGCAGATCGTTTGCCATAAGTTGGGACTGACTCAAAGGTACATAATTATTATATAAAAAATAAGAAAAACTGTAACAACTATACAGGGAAAAGGATACTACAGTGGTGCCTCACTTAACGATTTTAATTGGTTCCAAAAAAAAATCGCTATGTGAAAACATTGTTAAGCGAAACACCATTTCCCATAGAGATGCATTGAAAACCGGATAATCCGTTCCAATTGGAACGGATTACCATCCTTAAGCGAAAATCCCCATAGGAAAAAACGTTAAGCGAAACCCACTGAAATGCATTGAAGCCTATTTCAATGGGGGAAAAAATTCACAAAAAATTCAAAAAGACTCAGAACAAAGCCAAATTAAGTTAACGAAGGTTTTATTAGGTGCACTAATGATTCCAAGCATTTTAAACATTTTTAAACACTTTAGAATATTTTAAAAATAGCAAAAACGGGGCTGTAAAAAAAAACGTTAAGCGAAACAAGGGGACCTAAAACTGTCATCGTTAAGTGAAGCATGGTCCCAAAATCATTAAGCGAAAATCGCCCATAGGGAAAATCGTTAAGTGAAGCACAAGATCACTCTGAAAAAGCCATCGTTAAGTGAATTTTTCGTTGTACGAAGCAATCGTTAAGCGAGGCACCACTGTACTTGCAACCAGGGAGAACATTTGTTCTGCTTCTGCTCAAGGGCCAGATACTAAGAAGCCACAGAGGAGTGACCTGACATACACATTACAGGATAGAAGCTACATTCCTGTCAAGTCTGCTCAGCTCTAGAATGTTCTGACAGTAAACAAAGATTACATAAAAATCCAGATAACTAAAGCTGAGTACAAGCAGAGCATCCTTTATTCCATATTGTCTTTTTTTCTTTCTGATATCTTGATCTGAAGTTCAATACATGCAGATTGGAACTTCGTCCCTCAGAAAAGATCTCAAATACCTACCTGTCTAGAACTCTAAATGTAGACCAGTTGTCATTTATACTATAAAACGAAAAGGTTCAACAGATTTGCCCAGCAGTTCATTTTGATAAATTATCCCCAGCCTATATTAGATACAAATGTGCAATACAGATACAAACAAGACTGTGATAGATTCATATCCATTCATTGTGAATCCGTAAAATTATGATAATTTAGGGATTAAATAATATCATAGATTTCAAAACATTAGTGAAAAACAAAAATGACTGGGCAGGTACGAAGCAATACACATTAGTTTAACAATAGCTATTATCGGGCTATACAAAGTATTTGTTGCTTCCAAAGGGTGTTATTTTACTAAAGAAATTGATATTTATCTAAACATTCATCAGGAGACCTTCCTGAGCTATTTAAGCAGGCATACTAAAAAGCAAACAAAACACACACCTATTTAACAAGACATAAGAAATATGCTGAAATGTATTTCTTTTGCCTTTATGATAACATGGACGGGAGTGAACAATCATTTCTACTACTGCTCTAATATTAATAATTATGTGCTGTCAAATCAGTTCTGACTTATAGCAAGATATAAAGGACTCCACACTAGCTTACAAATCCTATATTCTAGTGGCACTCTGCGATCATGCAGCTTACTCACAAGGGCACCTAACCCTACAAGCAACACATGATCTTGGCTGGCCCTTCATCCAGGAGGCATAGTGGAGAGTCATGCTCCTAGGCCCAGGCTCCACAACCCAGGTGTTCCTCCAACCCACTGACTTCATACTGGCAACGAAAAACTGCCCTCTTAACAGAAATTCAAACTTCAACTGAGAAAACAGTTCCTGTATTAGGCATCATGTCAGACCTCCGTTGGTCTACATTACTGCTGAAATCCTATTGCCCAGTATAGCAAGTCACAACTAGAATAGGCCAATTGAATCAACGGAATTTACAGATACAGTGGGGTCTTGACTTGAGAACTTAATCCGTATTGGAAGGCGGTTCTCAAGTCAAAAAGTTCTCAGGTCAAATCTGCATTTCCCATAGGAATGCATTGAAAACCATTTGATTCGTATCTGCTCTTTTCCGTCCATAGAAACTAATGGGAAGCTGCTATTCCGCCTTCGACCACTAGAGGGGGATATTTTGTTTCTTTTTTTCTTAGGTCAAGAAAGGTTCAGGGAAGGCAGGGAAAATACAGTCCAGGCAGTCCAAGTACCAGGCAGTCCGAAGACTGTCTCCCAATCCACTCTCTAAATGCTGGGAGGAGTGAGGAAGCAGACAGGCACCCTTTTCACTGGCCAACAGTTAACTGAAAGTTCAAATTTTGCACTTTCCCTGCCTCCCACGTGGTTTTTTTCAGTTCTTAACTCAAATCTAAGTATGTAAGTCAAGTCAATATTTTCCTATGAGAGTGGTTCTTAAGTCAAAATGTTCTTAACTCAAGCCGTTCTTAAGTCAAGACCCCACTGTATTGTGGTTAGAGCAGCTTGACTCTTTAACCTAGTGTCAAATAGTCCAAGAGGAATGAGAGAGACAAGACTTTAAGCAAGAAAGAAAGGCCAGCTGTTGGGTTCCATCTTTCATCTTCAAAGTCTGAACTGTAGCACATAATCATTTAAAGTAAATAAAAAAACAGATACAAAGCAAAACATACTACAGTGGTGCCTCGCTTAGCGAGTGCTTCGCTATGCGATGAATTCGCATAGCGAGGGGGTCTGGGCCATCGCTGGAGCGTTTGCTCAGCGATGGCCCCTATGGCGATTTTTCGCTTAGCGATCTTCGCAAAACGAAGCGGGGGAGAACAGCTGATCGGCGGTTCCAAAATGGCCGCCAGAAGGGCCGTGCCGCATTTTCGCGCCCTGCCCTCGCTTACCGAGGGCGCGAAAATGGCAGCGCTATGGAAGAAACATCGCTTAACGGTGAGTTTTCAAGCCATAGGAACGCATTGAACAAAGTTCAATGCGTTTCTATGGCTTTTTTAGTCCCGTTTAGCGATGTTTTCGCATAGCGAAGGTTAATCCGGAACGGATTAACCTCGCTATGCGAGGCACCACTGTACTTATATACCAATGCATAGTGCTTAAAACATTGTCTGGGCAGTTTACAAATTAATTATGCAGGCTACACATTTCCCCCACCTCAGCAAGCTGGGTACTCAATTTACCAACCTCAGAAAGAGGGAAGGCTGACTGAACCCAGCTCGTGAGCAGAGTTTGACCACTGCACCATGAGGCTCCTGTATTACACATTCCCTGCTATTGCTTTAAAATACCCTTAGGTCTCTGTTAGGCAATAATATTCCAGAAACAAAAGATTAGAAATCTACCAAGATCATCTACTATATCACTTTGCTTTAAAACACCTTAAATACTGCAAAAGAAAACTAAGCTTACTAAGTCTGCTTCTCTTTCAATGTTTTAAAGATGTGTTCCCTAACATTTTTTTCAATAAGAAGATCAATATAAATCTATGATAACATTACAGTACCACCAGAACCAAGATGGCTTCCACAGTAAATACCAAACCCATGCTTTTCCAGCTGTTTCTATTACAATGCTTATATTCACAGAAAAATGTGAGACTTACAAATGGATAAACACAAAACAGTAAATCAAAAAAAATCCCACCTATGATTAAAAAGAGGAATATCAAACAAATATAGAAAGCTACTTGTTCTGTATAATTGCTTCAACTGTTTTAAACCTATTTTCACCATAACAAAGCAAGAACATATTAATAATATTGTTAGTTGAAATATCCAAAGTCATTCACATTATCGCTTGCCTCGGTGTAATTTTTTGAGGACAAGACAACCATCATTTGTAAGCACTGCAATGAATCACTGGTTCAAGTATAAAACATTTAGCTGAAAGATACTAGGTAAAATAGAATTTTATCTACCAAATTTTATTTTAGTCATTTATTAGCATATGCTCGATATACGTATTAAATCGCAGTTAAAAACACAGCAGTGCTAAGCTTCTCAGTGACCCAATTTTCATCTTCTATACTAAAACAGGAGAGAGAGAAACCTTGACAACACATTAATCCCATTTCCATAGCAATGAAAATAAACATTAACCATGTTATTCAGCACAAGATCAACAGAAAGAACAAAAGTATCTTAGAGTATAAAATGACTGCTTCAACAAAACAAAAATAACTGTTCACAAATTTTTCTCCACATAAAACGTTTGTCAGGCTATACACACTGTATTTGTTCTACTGTGTCAAATTGATGGAAAAATCCTACATTGATTTAAATTTTTTTAGCATAGTGAACATTTGACATTCAAGTTCCATAAAGCTTCCACACCAAAGAGAAACAAAACAGTTATCCTACCTGCTACTTTTTGAGTTCCCTGCTGGCATCTTAAAACCTAAATCTTCTCTTTCCACAGAACAGGAACTCCTTATGCCTTCTGACTACCTATTATTGCCAATGCACTTAAGTTTGGGTGTTTTTTTAAACATCCTTTTAGACAATCCAGGAAGAATTCAGAACTGCGAACAGGAATCTCCAGGAGCCTGCTGTACCAAGCTTGTACCAGTGTACAAGCTGGCTTGACAATAGAAGCACAGGACTGCTGTTCTAACAACTACTGTTGCTGGACTCATTCATCATATGACTAGAAATAAGGGATGAATCCATTTCACTACAAGCAAGCCGTCCCCCCTCCCCCCTCGCTTGTGTCAACTAAAATGTGCTGATTAATGAAGCCTTTAGAAAGAACAGGAAAAACAAAGGAGTAGGATGTGAAAATCCACTCAAACTGATTTTAAACAGAAGTCTGATTTTATCCATTCATTGCTTAGCATTTCAACCCATTCTTGCACATTGCCAAAATATTGTAAATAAATTCTCAGAAGTTACTAATAGTCTGCCAAAAAAAAAGACAAAAAACCCAAAAAACTAGCTTTCTGGGAGCCAGTAGAAAAAAAAGGCAGAAAGCTGCATTCCTGTGTCTGGAGATGGACAAAGAGGCTTCCCACCAGAGCAGCTTGCATGGTTTCTACACTGAACACAGAGGAAGGACAAGAATATACAACTGCTGTATTTTTATGATTCTAAACGGCACCTTCAGTTTTTACATCGATGAAGATACTAAGTGCTATGGTAAAATTAAAGTATCAGAGGTACTTGCATGAGACCAAATGCACTGTTCATTCTACCTCCAGCAGACCCAATGAAATCAATGGGAATTATGTCTCCCACCACAAACAAATCCTATTAATTTCCATGAGTCCAGCAGTAAGAATAAAACTAAGACTAGACTTAGCCAATATTCTTTGATTTTATTATTTAAGGATAGTTCTCTTGAAGGCTGAGGTTGCTTACCTTATATCATTCTGCGAACTGCAGTTTCTAGCTTCATGAAGGTGAGGCCCATTCCTCTCCTAAGGGTTTCTTCATGAGAATACTTCCTCTGGTTATACACTACAAAAAAGCAGTGATGGGCATATTAGTAATCACAGAACCTTATCACCTGGACAAATTAGCGTGCAGATGACAGTTTACACCATCAGAAAAGATAGGCTATACAAAGGGTCCTATGTGATCAAGATATATCAAACAAGCTTGAGAAGGTCATGGCAATGGAACTATTTAATTACTAAATAAAGAGAGAAGCCACATTTCATGACTTCTAGGCTCCTCCGGGCAGAAACAGAGGTGGCAGGGGCTTAAAAAATAGAGCATTTATTAGTGTTTTTCAGAAATAATTCTCAAACTAAACAAAAAGTTATGGTTGCATGAAAAGTCATGTCAGGGGGTGAAGTGTGATAATAAGTACTAGTTTTCATATGGTAGGGATGAAGAGTGAGGGATGAAAAAAGAATCTGCATAAAGACACTGTGATATCATCCACTGCTCTATTGCTACATAATTTTTAAAATGTTATTTTTTTCCATATTAATTGTACCTTGAATTTTGTTTTCGTGTTCTCTACCAATCCAGTCTCCCAGCTCTGAGCGACTTCCCCATTTATACCACAACATTCTGTCAAGATTATTGTAACTTTAAGGACTGAAGTACAGTGGACCCTCAACTTACAGACTTTTCGAGTTACAGACTTCTCTGGCTGCAAAATTTAGATTCAACTTGCAGCCGGAGAATCGACTTACAGACCAGAAAAAAACCAAAATGGAACAAAAATAGAATAAAAACCGCTGGTTATGGGATTAATCGGTTTTCAATGCATTGTGGGTCAATGGAGATTTGACCTACAGACTTTTTGACTTGCAGCCACCATTCCAATACGGATTAATTCCTTAAATAGAGGGTCCACTGTATAGCAAAACACCCATTCTAACATCAGGGCTCAAATTACAAAGAAAACAGCTAGAGAAATCTCAGATACAAACAACTGGCCCAAAGGACACACAGTTCTTTGAAGTAATGAAAAGTTGTAACATTTCAGGTTTGTTCTTTTCTCTCAATGAAATTGTAACAGAATGGAAGCTCAGTTAAGCACATCTAAAACCAGTGTTTTAGTGAGAAAATCACTCTTGCAATAACAAATGCAGGGAAAGCCATGTGACCATATGATCATTTTCAGAATCTATGTTTCAATTATACCTTTTTTGGGCCAACTAAAAAGACACATGGATGTTATCACAATACAGCTCCTTTAGTCAAAAGATTTAGCTTGCAAAATGAAAGGAACAAATTTTTCATTAGCAGAGCAAGGATAAAAATGAAGAGGTTATTTCCCAAAACCATTGTGACTATGATTAATGAGGGGTCTTAGACATTCAATGAAACAACTCCCTTTTTATGTAGTTTTTTTTAAAAAATATATATGTACAACAGCTGCTACAAACATCACTCAGCGTTACGCTTGTAAGTATTAGTGTGCATGGGTGACTGGCACTTGAGGGCAGCAACAGGCACATCCTGCACCATGAGTATCACAGTATTATGCAGCAGGAAGCTTCCTCCTCTTACTCCATCAATTCCTTCTTTTAGTGGTGAAGATACTATTCCCTCAGAGGGATAACACTTTCGGTACAACTGTGTTTCCTGGACTCTCAGCTATCTTCATACACTCTCACACAGAGCACAAGCGAATTAGCACCAGGATGGACTTGAATGTTTCCTTCCTTTCCCTCCCCTACACCTTTTGCTATTTCAAAGCATTCTTATATCTGAAAACCTCCTTCTCTCCTCTATATAAAATTTTCTTATCCCATTCTTTTCTTTCCCACTTCTCATTTCCATTTTCCTACAACTCTTTCTTCTTTGTATTCATATCCCCATCATCCACATCTCAAATCTGAAAGGAAAGTAGGATTTAATTGAAATCGGAAATCCCCAGAGCATTGTAATAGAATTCAATAGCGGAACTGAGATGAGGAAGACATAAAGTAGTTGTATTAACAATAACTGAGGGTGTGCTCCTATGTGGCATTTTCCTTTGCACACCGAATAGCCACAATAACCAACGAGAACTCTGAAATCCCTATTAAATATTTCTTACAGATCTGCTCAGACATGTGATCTTCACATTCACCCACAGTCTTTGTTTGTTTTTACTGGCATCACCCTGGCATCTTGACTAACGTTTCCATTTTGTTCCCAAAAAAGTGTGAAAAGAAGGAGCCGTGAAGGCAGCCAGGAACTCTAGGGGAGTTATTACCTCACTGACCTATAAGAGTTCTATACTAATGAGATTTCTGAAAAGATTTGTTCCCATATAAATGAAGGATAAATACATTCTTCTTTCCCAGTGCAGGCAATGGTGTGGGGTACTAGGGGACATGGCCCAACTACCTCTGGAACATGAGGCTGTGAATTCCTGGGCATCCCTATCCATTTTCCACCAGCATTCTCAGTTAGAGAGGGAGAGGAAGGAAGGAAGAGGAGTGAGTAAAAAATGGTATGGTGCAGAAAAAGCAGCAACATGGCCATGAGGTCCCTATAAATTACTGTAAGCTCGCTGCAGAAAAAAAATGGTTTCCCAACACTGGTTAAAACAATAGTCATCCAATTTACAGAATATGTAAGCAGCACATCATATTGGTTACTCATGTTTGTGTATCAAATAAAACTGAACATTTTCTCAAATTAAAAATTAAAATTATTCAACTGTCATCAATTGATAAGGCAAAAATGCATTAACTTAGCAAGGCAAGAAGGTTCACTTTCATTTATGGGAGCTGAAACAGCAACAGTGTGATTCAGAATGTCCCCAATTCAAATTCAATTCAAACCCAAGCATGTAGGTTTCATTAGGCAGGGTTTTATCTCAAGCCTCAGTCCCAAAACCCACTATATGGCTATAAAAAATAAATAATAAACAGCAACATGGTAGTTATATGGGGCTGCTCTCTGGATTATAAAGTGTTTTGAAGAAACGGAAAATACAGTGCTAAATGCTTACTGACATATAGTGACAACTTGTAGATTGAGATTTAATACCATACCAAAATAACTAGCAAACAGAACAAACATATCTCTGAAGCACAATACATGCTGGTACTGCTAGGTAAATTATTAATAATGGCTCTTCAGTTCTCCGCATGCTGTGAGGTTGACAACACTGTCATCACAAAAGCTGCCAATATGAAACAAAAAGTACTACTAACCCTTTATTAGATTTAGCAAGCCACAGTAGGTAAAACATTTTCATCTACCAAAGCCATTTATAAATTTGACAAGGACACTGCTTCATTTGAAGGCATTCGGCTGTTCTTGAAAACCAAAACTGCAAGGTAAATGCTGGGTGCGTGTTTTTTTTTAAATTTAGGGCCATAGTACTTCCATCCCCATGAAAATAAATAAAGGTTGGTCCAAAATTTCTATATATTCTGGTTATCAGTGTTGTAAAGATCAATTTCAAGAGCCTAAGGCAACAAGAAGTTTTCAGTTTAAAGAAAAGTGGCAATGGAATCCATATTGTTTATTATAATAATTCCATGTGGGTGATGCAAATCCATTTTAATTCCTTAACACTAATCACAATTAAGAGATTGCCAAATACATCTTAAGGAACACTCACTGACTTGCAACTTTTCCCCCACTAGGATACTGCACAGTTATTAAGCCTCCAAAAAAAGCTCAGAAGGAACAAGGAAACACATGTGCAACGGGGAGGAACTTTAGAAGTGCAGAATTCCTCTATAGGGAACTCCTGTTTGTCCACCTCTTACTGAATATCCTTATCCACATGTACACATGAAATCACAAGCACACAGACATTTCCTGAGCAAGTCCAGAAATACAGGGACCCATTTAAAAAGCAGTACACCCATGATAAATATCATGCTGAACACCATACTTCATCATCTGAGAAAGTCACCCCGCTGACACAGTCCAAGAGTAAACAACAACATTATCAAAGATAACTGATGATTACTCAAAGAAGAAAACTTCATTGGCGGGCTGACACTCTGGCACTGGCCCAGCTAACCAGTTTTAATAATAGTGGCAGAAGAAGACGACACCGATGACAATGAAGAATAGAAAGACACCAAAGAATAAGATGAAGAACAATGGGCAAAGACAAAGAGCAAGCTTATCAAATAGAGAGTGGGAAAGGGATCAGAGAAATGGCAATGGAGAACTTTCCCCCTAACAACTTGTAGCAAGACATACATTATGCAGCACCTCCACCATCAACTTGCACATTCACCAATAGGATGGCAAGAGGTGCTACTGATGGCATTTTTAAACACCCCTTGGAGAAAAGAATACCCTCCAACTCTGAATATCTTGCCAGCTGATGCTACGCATGTGCCAGTGCTGTTCTGTTCTTATCTTCCCCCCAAAATGCTTTAACTTCAACTTTTCCTGACTGATATTATGATATTTTAACCCTTTTACATTTCCCTATTTCTAGTGTTCACTACTCAGGAATTTCTTAGATATAGAGAGGTTTACAAACAATAAAAACAAACAATCCAACATTAGATAAACAGGCAGCTGTACATCTGCACCAAGCCAGGAAATGGAAAGGAAGAACATGAATTTCCACATCTGGTTCCCAAATTTGCATTGAACAGAGTTACAGGCATATCAGGGCTATACCATGTATCTTTTTATATTCAGTTTTTCCATTTATTTCTACAATGAAATCTCAACACAATATGTATCTATATGCTGGGATAAAGACTGCTGAACATACTATATACTGTGTAGTTGTGCATAAGCAGCAAAATGAATACATGGTAACCAAATAGTCTTGGCCTTTTAAAATCCATGTAAAATTGAGAAATGTAAGCTGATAAGAACGGTACTACATTAGACAGGAAATGCAAAACAGAAGAGACTGCTGATTTTTTAATTGCATGTTTTGAATGACACTGTCCACTATACCAATAATGTGCCACATCCTTCTGATATTGCGAACATACACTGTATAACAGCTGGATATATGACCATCACTGCATATATTCACATTTACCTTCTAATTACTAAAAGATATTAGTAAATAGTAG